GTCTTCCCCAAATAGGCAAACCTTCCCTTGCTGCAGCGGGAACTCCTGCACTGCGCCCGCCTGGCAAAGCAGACCCCTGCCCAGTACCTGGCCCAGCACGAGCAGCTCCTGCTGGATGCCAACGCCTCTTCCCCCATTGACTCCTCGGAGCTCCTGCTGGAAGTCAATGAGAACGGCAAGAGGAGGACACCTGACAGGTACCGCGGGGGCTTTTTGTGGCTGGGGAGAGAGACAGTGGAGGGACCAGAATTGGCTCTGGTACCACAGCACAGGGCACCCTAGTTCCAGTGCTAAGAGAATCTGGGTCAATGCTATTGCCCACAGTGAGTGAACAAGATGGTAAAGTTCAGCCTTACCTGCGAGGCCTCTGCACGGGGCTGCATGTCGGAGAGGCTGCCCTGTCAGGCTGTGGTGATGACTCATATGTCCCCCTGGGAGGACGAGGGGATAGCAGGAATGGAGTGAGTCTGTGTGGAGGGAATTCTGTGGCAATTCCCTTCGTGCTAGATGTGGACTCCAAGTGTCCAGGACCTGAGGTGCCCAGGCACATGGGCTGGCCATCACTGCTGGGTCAGAGAGATGGGTGCTTGTCCTGCTGCCAGGAGAGGGAGTCTCCCTCTCTTCATTCTCTTGACAGAGATTTGGACTTTGTGACCACTTGGCCCCAGAACCTGCACACCAGGGGCGGGAATCAAGGCTGGGCCCCCAGTGGACTGGTCTAATCTCTCTCTGTCTCCTCTTTGTTCTTATTCTCTCTGCCCACCACCTCTCTCTTCCTCTCACCCCTTCTGCTTGGACCTCTATCCACGGATCCTGGTTCTATGACCACTGACCACCTGCCCACTCTCTGGGCCAGGACCAAAGAGAATGGATCAGACCGCGACCCGTTGCACCCTGACCCCCTCAGCAAACGGCCATGCACCCTGAGCCCCGCCCAGCGCTACAGTCCCAGTAATGGGCTGCCCCACCCCACGCCGCCACACTACCGCCTTGAGGACATGGCCTTGGCCCACCACTCCCGTGACTCCTACCGCCACCCTGACCCCCGGGAGCTTCGGGAGCGCCATCGGCAACTCAGTGAGCAGTATTCTGGGGGCAGGGGATGTCACATGTGTGCATGTGAGTAGGAGCACACGTGCACCTGTGTGGGGGGGAGAGCATTCAAGAGCTACTGTGTGCACATGTCTGTCCAGTAAAGACACAGAGGAAATGGGTGTAGAGAAAGGATCTGAGCAGGGAACTGGCCCCAGGGCCCAGAGGGGATCCCCATCCTGACTGGCTATGCTGGGAAGCCTCTGAGGGAGAGCCATCTTTCCTGGACCGGCATCTAGGGGGCAGCTCAACATTCTCACCCTCAGGGCCCAAGAGGTCCCTTCCCTCCCAGGGGGCATGATTGTGGATGTGCCTGTCCTGGGGTCCTGGCTGGACTGAGGCAGGTACAGACTCAATTTGAGGGGCTCTGGCCATCTGCTGGGCATATACCCTTCAGTTGCCCTTGGCCCCTGTACGGGTATGTTCAACTCCTTATAGAGACAAGAAAAGGGAGCCCACCAGATCTGCCTGACCACTGACCATCCACTGGGGCAGAGGGAGGGCAAGAAATTGGGATCCTGGACCCAATTTCCACGGGGGGGGGGTGCCTCACACACAACACCAAGCAATCTTTGGACACCAACATAGTCTCCTACTTGGTTCTGACACTCTCTACAGGGAGATAGCATTAGGTCCCATAGGTTAAGGGTTCAGTTCTACAAGACTGCCCCCTCCCTTCAGATGCCAGTCACAAGTCCAGGTTGTCACCTATGCTTCTGACTGACCAACTATAAATCAGAGTTCCCCACAACCCCCACCTTGGGTTCAATTAATTTACTAGAGTGACTCAGAACTCAGAGAAACATTTACTGCTGTATTACCTGTTTGTTATAACGGGCTATAACGCAGGGACAGCCAGATGGAAGAGATTTATAGGGTAGGGCGTGAGGAAAGGGTGAGGAGATTCCATGCTCTCTCCTAGTACATCATTCCAAATCTCCATGTTCATCAACCCAGAAGCTCTCCAAACCTTCTTCTGAGGTCTTATGGAGGCTTCATTACCTAGACATGACTGATTAAATCATTGGCCATTGGCAATCGATTCAACCTCCAAGCCCCTCTCCCCGCCCTCGAGGTCACGGGTGTACTAAAAGTTCAAACCTCGACTCACATGGTTGGTTCTCTGAGCAACCAGTCCTCATCCTGTTCCAAAGTCACCTCATTACCATTAACAAAAGACACCTGTATCACCCTGCACACTTAGGAAATTCGATAGGTTTTGGGAACTGTGAGCCAGGGGCCCTGGATGAAGACCATATACGAAAGAGATATTTTGTTCCTCTGAATGACCAAATATTTATTTCCTATAAGTCACATTATCACAGGTGGGATGCACAGGACAGCCCAAAAGAACCCATATATGGGCAGTTCTAGCATGTGAGGCTCCCCAAGTCACAGGAGCCCCTGCCTCCAAGGCATTTCCCCAGGCATGGCCAGGTGCCCTGAGGGAAAAAGGACACCCCCTAAGACTCGAGAACTCCCACTGAGCCTCACTGACCATGAGTGGAGCGGGATGAAAATGAACACTAACACACCAGATTCATAAGAGAGCAGGGGTTTCACGGTGAGAGCAAGGGCTCAGGACTGCCTTTTCCTCTGAGCTCCGATGAGTCCCCGTAGTTCGCCCTTGAGCAAGTCACATGACCTCTGTGCCTCAGTTTCCTCCTCTGTTGGCTGGCTCTAACAGGAATCTCACCCCTCTTGGTCATATAAGAACTGAGGGAGTTAACCCGGTGCAGAGTGGGGGCCGTGTGGCCCAGCTCTTATTGATAACAGCGGCGACAAGCCTGGGGTGGAGTGCTCACCTCTTGCTTGCAGTGTAGCCTTTACTCAGTTCTTAGAGTGGGCCATGATATGTCCAGATATGTGTGTGATATGTTAGCACATCCCTATCACAGATGAGGAGACTGAGGCCCAGAGAGCGTAATTGGCATGCTCAAAGTCTTCTAGCCATGTCTGTCTGACCACTGACCATCCACAGGGGACAGAGATGAACAGGACCAGGCCCTAGCTCAGGGGCCCCCGTTGTATTGGGGGACAGTCAACAACAGTAGCCCCTGAGACAGAGGCCCAGAGCACCAATGTAGGGCCCAGAGGCAGGGTCAGCAGAGGCCTCACTCCATACAAGGCCGTCTCCTCACCCCCACCCTGCGGAAGCTTCCAGGGCCCCTGCCCAGGCAGCAGGTGACAGCGTCTGGCTCCCTGTGGCCGGGTCAGGCAGGTGCTATTCCCACCCGCTTCTGCTAATGCAAAAATAGACGCCAGCTGTCGGGCAGATCTCAGCCACTATTTTGGTTGGGGCGTTGGCGAAGGCCCTGGCTCCTCGGGCAACAGGACAGGGCTGTGGACAGCAGATTGTGGCTGCCACTTCCCACCCTTTCTGCAATTGGGGGAGGTATTTTGAGTTTATGGGGCCAGAAGACCCTTAGGAGCTGAAGAAGGCCTAATTAGAGAGACCTCAGCCCAAAAGCATTCATGGGCACTGCATCACCCAACACAGGCAGGGGCATCCAAAACAGTGGGGGTGAGCGCACTTGGTAGGTCAGAAACTATAAGAGGAGCCATGGTGGGGAGAGTCAGATGCTGCGGCACTGGTGCTCATTGCACAGCTCACAATGGTTTTGTTTCTGACTGGGGGAAGGGTACCCCATTGTTTAGGTCCCTGGAGCCATACCAGCCACTGGCTGAAGGCACAGCTCTACTCAGGCTGACCTTGGGTGACCTTGGGTGACACATCCCCTTAAGCAGCCTCAGTTCTCTCATCTGTAAATTGCAGATGACAGCAGAGGTCAATGCAGGATGAAAGGTGTAAAGCACTTGGCGCAGAGCTGCTTATACCCGGGCTCTCCCCACCAACGCACCTCCTGAAAATCTTCTCACACACCCCGGAGATAGGCGAGATAGGGAAACTGAGGCCTGGAGAGGCAACATGAGGGTCCTAGGTCCCATGGGGAATGATCATCAGGACTACTGGCTTCCTCACCCCCCTGTCTTCTAGGAGTCCACAGTTGTTACCGGTTCACTTGAGACCCAGCAGTTAGGCTGGAGCGCTTGCTGAGCAACAGCTCAGCCCAGGGGACATAGAGAATGGGATATGCCAGCCCTGCCCTGTGGACTGTCGCCGCCTATTGAGATGGGGGTAGCAGGGACTGAGGATAAACAAAGAAGCACATACAATTACCAAACAACCAGAGATACATGAGGCTTAAGGAATTCTGAGGTCCTAGGGCTGCTGAGGAAGAAGGGCCTGTAACCTGGGCTTTGACGGATGCATAGGAGTCCAGTTGACTGAGAGGAAGTGGTAAAGCTTGGGCTGGAGCCAGGCAGTCAACACACAGAGGCCCTGAGTGCTTCTGAGCAGTGGTGAGGCCCCAGAAGTGAGGTCTGAGGCAGCCTTGGTTGGCAGCAGAGGGCAGAAAGAATGAGAACAGTGGGATCTGGAAGTAGGAAGGGAAGGGAAGGGTGACCAAAGCCAGAGCAAGAGATGGGGACATGGGTCTTTTACTTTCAAGCATTGACTAGAGGCCAGGCCTGTTCCTGATCCCCTCAGGGCAGTGAGCAGAAGGTCAGTGCCTAGGGTCCTCTACTTTACACTTTCCACCTTACCCAGGTGGGCACAGCCCATGGAAGGGCCTAGGAAGCATGGGGTGGAGCTTGGGGAGTGTAGGGTGGGGCCTGGGAGCATGGGATGGGACCTAAGCGTCTACTCTCCCCCTGCAGTGGTCCATGGGTCACGGCCAGAGGAAGTGATCGACCACAGGCTCACAGAGCGCGAGTGGGCTGAGGAGTGGAAGCACCTCAACAATGTGAGTGTCCAGGCCAGGGCACAGGTGCCACAGCTACTCCAGGGGCTCTACCCAATCTGTGGGGCTGCAGGGACAGGGCTCAGGTGGGCTCCCCTTTGCTCTATGCCCACCTGGGGGGGCACAGGGCAGGGCCTTGGGAAGAGCAGGGCCTGGGAGCATGGGGGTATTGGGAGTAACCATCTCAGCCTACCCTCCACATCCGGTCAACCCCAGAACCTTTCCTTCTCTGCCCCTAAAGAGAGTCTCCCAGAAGATCACTTGGTGTGGGCAGTCAGACCCCTTCAACACCATTTCCAGGTTCACCCTCCCCACTACTTCCTTTTAGGGGAAAACCTAAGCAGAAGGTGTGGTCCCCAGAGTGGTGCTGGCCACATCTGCTCCTTGGAGCAGATCACACCTGAGGTTTTCGAGGAGGGCCCCATGCGAAGCCCCCTGCCTTAAGCCTCCCGTGGCCAAACCTTGTGGACAGCGGGCCCTGCATGCTTAGGCCACCCGACCACCTGCCCACAGCTCCTGAACTGCATCATGGACATGGCCGAGAAGACACGGCGGTCACTCACCGTGCTGCGCCGGTGCCAGGAGGCTGACCGAGAGGAGCTCAACCACTGGGTTCGGCGCTACAGCGACGCTGAGGACACCAAGAAGGGCCCCTCGACCACCGCCGCCCGGCCCCTCAGCAGCTCAACAGGAACCGAGGGGTCTCAGCTGGGTGTGTGCTGGGGCTGGGAGGGGACAGAGGGAGTGATGCAGAGAGCAGCGCGGGTGGGGGGGCTCTGCAGGGTGCATGAAGGGGGTTCCCAGGACCACGGCAGCAGAGCCCGCATACAGATTCTGCAGTATAATACCACTCACAACAGTTTCACTTGAAAAAGAGGTGCCTTCCTTGCTCTGCACAGACACTGCCTGAGCCACTAGGAAGCCCAGACTCACAGCTCCAGTGACCTCAACACACTGTGAGTGGGCAGAGGTAGCAAGTGTGGGTGAGATAACAGAGGGCTTTGGGGGGAAATAACAATGTAGAGCCCTGGGCCCACTAGGAAGCCCAGACAGAGTTCCGGGGGCCTATGGGTCTCTACTCATCCCCGGGATGATGACCATGGGAACCAAGAGAGGCTCAGGATGGGCCCAGCTCCCCGTTGAACGTAAGGTCCATCAGCCCAGAGCATTCCCGTCTATAATGCTGCCCTGCTCCCAGCCCAGCAACTGATACAGCACTTCCACCCATGGTTACCTCGGGACCCCTGCCAAGAACACACACTGGCCGGTGTGGCTCAGTGGTTTAGCATCAACCTATGATCCAGGAGATCTCAGTTCGATTCCCAGTCGGGGCACATGCCCGGGATGGCGGGCTTGATCCCCAGTAGGGGCTATGCAGGAGGCATCCGATCAATGATTCTCTCATTGATGTTTCTATCTCTCTCCCTCCCTCTCTCTCAAAACAATAAAAACATATTTAATAAAAATAAGAAAAAAGAACACGCACACCATGGCCTTGTGGCCCCCTCCTGTGCGTGACACTGGCCCCTATGTTTCAGACATACACCGGGAGTTCATGCCTAGGACCCTTTCCAGCTACATGCCAGAGGAGATCTGGAGGAAGGCTGGTGAGTAGGGATGGTGAGGGTGGAAGCTGGGGGCCACAGATCCAGACCCTCTTGCCCTCTCTGTCTGCAAGGAGCTTCTGTCTGGACTCAACTGGGCCTCCAGCTTAGGGCAAAGTTCACAGGGCTTCACAGGTGGGACTTATGGAGGGATCACAGTGCACTTAGTATCCAGGGTAGGACGATTGCCACCCATCACCTCCCAGGGAACAACACCATGCTCAGTAAAACAGGGAGGGCCTCAGTCCCAACATGCACATGAGTGTGTACAGACATGCGCACATATGAGAAAGGCACTTTCTCTTATGTGCCTGGAATTCTCATATGAGCTGGAATTCGCGTGACCTTCTGGGCGTAGTGTTGAGCATGGCAACAGGGCAGTGCTGTGGGGGACATTCTTTGCATCGAGGAGGGGCTTGGCAGGAGCTGGAACCCGTGGGCAGCCAGAGAGAGAGGCGGGCACTCAGGGTTGGTGGCGGTGCAGAGAAGAGGTAGGATCCCAGATATGTTTTAATTTGTGGGTAGATTCTATGTGAAGTGTGATTTAGAGGGAGGCAATCTCAGGGTCTCAAAAGGAGAGAGAGTGGAGAGTCCCAGCTCAGATTTGGAGGCTGAGGGGCCCAACAGGCAGCAGCTGCTTAGATCCAGGCAGGTGGCAGGCCTGGACAGGAAGATGGGGGTCCTCATTTCCCTTGGCTGTCCCCTTCACCTCCATCTGGCCCACAGTGGGGCCTCATGGGACCCTTGGTAACAACCATGTGGAGCTTGGGCTGTGCCATGGGGGCAGGTAGCCATAGCGTGCAGACACTCAGATGGAAGGCTCGAGGGCCATCTCTGCCCCTTAAACCCCACCCTAGCCTCCTTACACACCATGCCGCAAGAACAGCACAGCCAGGTAAACTGAGGCAGGCCTTAAGGTCCATGGGGGTGGCTTAGTGGGGGGTGGGGTTCGTATTGTTCCCAGTGTCGGAGGGCAGGGTGCGCTGAATCCTCAGACGTGAACAGGCAAAAGTGGCAAGCGTGGGGGGACAGCAGAGGGCGTTTGGGAGAAATAACAATGCAGAGCCCTGGACTGGGCATTCCATGAACTGCATCCAGACGAGCCACAGGGGAAGGCAGACTGTCTGTGGGGCAGAACAGTACAGCTGTGATTCTCAAAGTGGGTGGTGAGACCAGCAACAGCATCACTTGGAACTTGTTAGGAATGCAGATTCTAGGGCTCTCCCCAGGCCTACTGCATCGAATCTGCCACTGCACGCTAGAGTTTGAGAGCACTGCAGGAGAGGATAAGCTTGGAGATTTGCCCTGTGACGATGCTTGTGCACCCCTGCGGGGATGCATGTGATCCTTTGTGCACAAGCCCAGCCCCCAGGGTTATGGGCGGGAGGCCCGGGAGACCTGGCTAGGCCGGCCCATGTGACCGTAGCCACATGTCCTTTGCAGAGGAGGCAGTGAATGAGGTGAAGCGACAGGCGATGTCTGAGCTGCAGAAAGCTGTGTCAGACGCCGAGCGGAAGGCCCACGAGCTCATCAGCACAGAGCGCGCCAAGATGGAGCGGGCCCTGGCTGAGGCCAGGCGGCAGGCCTCGGAGGATGCCCTCACTGTCGTCAACCAGCAGGAGGACTCCAGTGAGGTAGGTGCCCACCCCACACCCCACCCCAAGTCCAGGTCCAGGGCTGCTCTGCCTCCTTAGTATCCCCGTGAGCTCTCAGGCCTGGTGAGGGGGGTCCTGTGGGTGTCCCCATTGTACAGATGGAAACTGAGGGCTCCAGAGGGGAGATAGCTTGCCAAGGAAGTGGCAGGGCATCTGTTTGCAGCTGGGCTTGCGGACGCCAAAGCTCATGCTGTCTCTAAGCTGTGAAAGCAGGAGGCAAGAGGAGCACATAAAGACCCCACGTGGCATCTGAAGCCCTCCTCAGCTCCTGGCACACATGTACCCACAGAAAGGGCTTGAGATTATTTTCATGCTGGTGTTTGGTCGTGAAGCCTGGTGCAGTTCAGGCTGTGGACCTGTGTAGGAAGGAGGGTGGGGTATCAGGAAGGGCTCCCTAGCAGTGATGTCTGAGCAGTCCTGGAGGCAGTGAGCCAACATGCCGAAATCAGGGAACAGTGTCATCCCAGGAGGGGGCAGCAGGGACAGAGGCCAAGTGGAGACCAGGCACATCTGGCAGAGTGAGGACTGCAGGAAACCAATGTGGCCGAGCAGAGTGAGCCAAGGACAGCAGGCGGTATTGGGGTCCAAGAGTCTTTGGAGGTTAAATGGGCACCTGGGCCCTTCTCCAGGGCAGGTTTCACTTTCCTATCCCACAGTCTGGGGCCTTCACCAGTGTCCCTGCCCACCTTCTATTCACATGGCTAACTGGGTTACGTTTGTTCCACAGAAAGAGAGCAGAAGCCCAACGGTAGGGGAAGGATGGGGCCGAGGCAGGCCTGCCGTGCACCCCACATTGGAGCATGGCAGTCTTTGTTCTTCCAGGGATCCTACATTCTGTACCAGAGACCTGGTGGGGCAGGAGGGCTTCCTGGAAGAGAGGGAAGGGGCTATGGCTCCCTGCCTTCATGAGGACACTGTGGTGCTGTAAGCCCAGCATGAACCTATGTGGGGTGGGCTAAAGTCATACAATGCAGTAGCGCTAGCCCATTTCCCGAAAATGTCCCGGCCAAAGGGCTGTGTCACCACCAGGCACCACAAGCTGTAGCACTTTGGGGTCTTTCTGTCTCCCTTGACACCCTGGCTGGGTCTAAGCCAGTTTGTTCAGAGGGTGTTTTCCCCATCCTGCAGCAGGGCTGGGTACTTCGGGGATTTGCCCCAGCCCTGGCCCACACTGACCATCTCCTCCACCCAATCCAGAGCTGCTGGAACTGTGGGCGCAAGGCCAGCGAGACCTGCAGCGGCTGCAACGCAGCCCGTTACTGCGGCTCCTTCTGCCAGCACAAGGACTGGGAGAAGCACCACCACGTGTGCGGCCAGAGCCTGCAGGGGCCCTCAGCCGTGGTGGCCGACCCGGTGCCAGGACAGCCGGACGCCACCACCAGCCTGGGCCCCTGCCTGCCCACGGGTGCTGCCAGCCCCAGCGAAGCTGGCTCCACGGGGCCCTCTCGCCCCGGCTCCCCTGGCCCGCTGGATGCCGCACCCCGCTGACCCCTCCCAGACCCGCCGCTCGGCCCACGGACAAGCGCCCACCAACCCCGCCCAGCCCCAGCTGCGGGACACTTGGCCCGGCCCTGGGAGCCCGACCATTGGAGTCACTGCTGCTACTGCTTCTCTCCAAAAGAAAACACAGAACCAACAAAAACTGCATTCAACGCAACTTCCTCAGCTACCTGACGATCTCACGCGACAACCTCTTCAAGCATCCTCAGAACCTCCCACCAAGCTTTAGACAACAGAGCGGACACCGGCTGGAGCACCACCAGCTTGTCCACTGCCCTTCCTTCCTTTTCTCTCTCTCTCTCCTCCTCTCTCCCCCTCTCTCTCTCTCCCTCTTTTTTCTGTCTTTATGGCTTTCACACACTTTCTCTTTAATGAAAAAAATTGTTTGGTGGCTTATATTTTCAGTGAAGAATTTTGGGGGATTTTTATGGCAAAAGAGCCACTCAGAAATGGACAAAGAAAACTGTGGGGGTTTTCCCCTTCCTGATTAAAAAGGGAAAAAGAAAACTGTTATTTTATTGCCAGAGATCTGAGCCTCTGCATCACCGAAACTACCCCAGGGGTATGTGGCCCATTCGGTGAAGACAGTAAGAAAGACTTCAGTTTCTGACCCAAGAAGCATTTTTGGTTTCAGATTTTTTTTTTTTCCTTTAATGTCAAACTCTTTGGCTTTAAGTAGAAATCCAAAAAGTTTTTTTAAAAAAAGTAAAGGAAGCATACCTGTAAACTACCTTGCCAGCTAGCCAGCCAAGGATGCCGCACACACCTCTGCTCCAAAGGAAATCCAAAAAGCAAACACGAGAAGTCAAAATCCAAAATTTGTCACTGCCAAAGTATTTTTTTCACTGTTTTACTCCACTCTTGGGTTTGTTCAGATGTTGGTCTTTTCTTTTGATTCTGTTTTTAGAGTTTGGGATATTGGGGTTTGGAGGGTTTTGCCCAACAAGAAGCGACTTTTGTTTCTTTTTGACTAGACGGCAGCGCCTTTGCTGGGCACCGGGCGGTGGGTCTCGAAGCCACCGGCACCCCACCCGCCGCGCGTGAGAGTGTCTGCGTGTGCGCACAGGGCACCCTAGCCACGCGCTCCACGTGCGCAGGGGAAGAGACCTCCATCTGTCCTCACGCCCTCTGTGAATTTTCATCACATTTCATTTCTTCCACTTGTGAAAAAAAGTGCTAACGTGTCCTTCCCAGAGAGAGCATAATTCTGAAACAAAACTGTGACAATCTTTCGGGTTGATTTTCAAAGCACGGGGAGACAGCAACTGCGCCTATACCGACTGCGTCTCCGTCTTTCCTCCTCTACCTCTTCTCCCCTCCTCAGTGCCGCCCCACCCAACTCGTCTCTGCCCCACCGCCACCCTCCCCCAGTGTCCCCTGAACCTACTCTTCTTTCTTCACACTTTTGCAGAAAAAGAGAAAACAAAAAAAAAAACACACAAAAAAAACTACAAACAAGAACCGCCCGCCCTCGCCACACCTTCTGGAGACTTAGTCAGCTGTGCGTAACCTCACGTTTCTGTCCAGCTGATCATTCCGGGGGGTGTCCCCTCACTCTAGCTCTCTCCTCCCTCCCCCACTCAACTCCCCCAAGCAACCTCAAGGAGGAAATAAAGGAGTAAGGAAATTCTCACCTGTACTCAATGGAGAACAAACAGCAGCATGGTCCATGATCTGGCATATTCTTGCGTCGCTGTAAGAAGTTCCCAGGACTGGAGTGCAATACGGAGAGTGACCAGCTACTGAAACCGGGGTTCCTGGGGGGCCCCAACCAAGAGGCAAGAAGTCAATAGTGTACGTTAATGTGAATGTATATAGTCCTTGCAGAGGTCCAAATAATGATATTCATGATGATAATAAAGAAGAGATGTTTGCCAAATAAAAAAAAAAAATTAAGAGAAACTGCAGAAGTATGTCAAGTGTAGGAAATCGATTTTCAAAGAAATCTGAACTGTGGTCCTACGGGGAGCAATGGGTTTGTTTGATTACTGTTATTTTTTTCGGAGTCGTAAGAATTCATTCTTTGAGTATTGAAAAGATGGATTTCATCTGGTTGCCACAGACCAGGTACCATCCTGAACCACATCTGCCAGTGAAAACGTAATTCTGAAATAGACCTAATTCCAAGATAGATCTATTTTATTCTCCAGAATGTTCCCCGTTCCAGCCACCATCTCTGTTGCCTGGTAAGTGGGTCTGTCACGCTCTCAGAGGTTTGCTTTTGTGGATTTCAGAAAAGCAAGGACCAGTTTGGGATTTGGGCTTTCGAGGCAGCAGAGGCCCACCTGTCATGTTTCCAGCCTTCTGTCTTTCTCTCTCTTGCAAATATTGAACCTATTAAAACGGCGGTTTCGGATGTGCAGCGAAATGGGTTTGCTCCCCCTTGGAGGTGGGCGCTTTGGACTCTGTTCCCACAAGGTTGTGCTGCTAAACGGGGTGTCTGGAGAGTGTCTGCCCTGGGTATGCTGGGGGTCTGGCAGGGGAGGGCTAAGGCCCCTAGTCACTCATATCCCTGCCATCTGGACTGGGGGGTGAGGCCACTGGTCTGAAGAGAGTCATGGAGGAGCCAGCCCTTCACCTGGAGACCTGCAGGTTTGCCTTGAAGGCCTCTGTTACCCTTCCCCTTGCATGGTCCCCCTTTGGGGACAAGCAGGTATGCCAGGGACACTGGCACGTTGGCCAACTGGCAGTGCCAGACCAACCTCCAGGGCTGGACCACTGGCTGAGGGCCTGAGGTGGAACAGCCCCTCCCACCCCAGCTGTTAGGAAGAGGGTGCCCTCAAGCCATCTCTAAAAGGCATCCTGGTATGGGTCTCACATCCAGATCTCATATACCCAGAAGCCACCACTGGTGGGGCTGCAGAAATCTAGCATGAGGGGTTGGCCATAGGCCCATGGACAGAGCCCCTCCTGGCCAAGAGCATCCTCAGAATCAGGGGATGGCAGCAAGGTGGGGTGGGAGCTCGCAGTGAGGAAGCCAAGCCCAGAGTGGGCGAGAGGGGGGTGACCTAGTGTAAAGGCTGTGTCAGCCGGAGTAGGCAGCTCCTCCCGCTCCTCCCGTCCATGGAGTTGTGAGGAAGGCGATGGAGCTCCCTTCCATGCTTAGGGAGCTGGTGCTTCTGCTGATCACTGTGCTTAGGCCCCATGTGGCTAAAGACCTTACAACCAAACATGGAATCAATAGCTTCGGGGCAGGGGGGGCAGAACTTTTGCACCAGGAGTTGGACTAGTGGCGTTAAACATGAGTGTCCATGCAGCACCTGTATCTGCACCTGGAGCACCTGCCTTCCGTATACAGAGAGGGGATCTAGCCTCCTGCTCTCTGCTCAGAGGCCATCCTGCCCTGGTACCTCTTGAGCTTATTATACACCATTGACCAGGGGTGTGGCATGCGAGGGTCTCCTCTCCACAGGCCACCACCACACAGGTGACCCAAAAGCTCTGTGAGATGTGGCTGCTTAAAGAGACTCCTTCCCTCCAAATCAAACCAAAATGGCAGCTTTACCTCTCCTGTTCTAAGGCCAAAACTATGGCAGGAAGGCGGCAGCCAGAGCCCACAGCCTGCAGGGAAGGGACATCAGGATGGGTGCCAACACCTGGACCCCTTTTTTTCTCCCCCATGTGGATAGTATCCTGGTGTGTGACCCTCAACATTTCCCATCCCCCCCTCCCATCTCCTTATTTTTCTTCCTGCCCTGGACCCAGGCTGGTCTTTCTCTTAGGATGTGTCACCATCCCCAGGTGGTGTCTGGGGGATATTCTGTTGGCAAAGACCAGTGCCTGGCACTCCATGCATGGACTGGCTGGCACACCCCAAACCTCATCTGAATAGAGAGGGTCCCTGTTCCCAGGCTCACCAGGACACAGGGAAGCCTTGGGTGTTACCAGGGTCAAAGAGAAAAGCTGCAGAAAGTCTCAGGGGTCCAGGAGGGTAAGAGCTGTGGGACAAGAGCTGTGGGGAGGGGGCTGCCCTGTGGGCTTGGCAAGTGGGGTTACTCATCAGGGCCCCAAGAGGTTCAACGGCAGAGGGAGATGGACCGGAAAGGGGCAAAGACGTGTTGGTTTTGGTTTCATCCCAAGGACATAGTGGAGAGGGATCAGCTCAGGCTCTAACTTTCTCCTGTTTGCCAATTTTTCCAAATATATCTTCAAAATGACACCAAAGCCTTGTCTCTGTCATCCACCCATCTTGCCTGTCCCAGCCCACTCTAGCTATCATGTCCAGCCATCATTCTGCCAATCCCTCAGCCCATCTACAATTATTTATTGAGTCTCTTCTTCCATTAGTTCATCCTTCTGAGCAATCCAGTCATCTCTCTGGCCATCCAGTCACCTATCCACGCTCTGACTCACCCATCCATTCATACAGCTGTCTACCCATCTATCCATTTATCCATCCATTCATCCACCCATCTACTCATCCATCCATCGATCCATCCATTACTCTGTCCCAAATATCACTTGATCCCATCCCTCCCCATTCATCCTTTTACCACCCACCTGTCTCTCCACCATTCGCCCCTATACACACCATGCGTGTGTCTCCATCCATCCTTCAATCTTGCCCACACAACCCATGCCTCAGTCCATCTACCCATCCACCTCTGCATCCACTGAACCCAGAGTAGCACCACCAACCCCTCCATATTCCAAAGTTTCCAGGGTGCTTTGGATCCCCTCTGTGACCCCAGCTGCCCTGAAGGAACCTGCCTATGGGCACAGCCACCCCTTGCAGCCATTGTTCTAGACCTACTCCAGAGACAGATAAGAGTCTGTTGCAGGCATTATGGGCAGATGGGACCAATGTCCTAGCAACAGCTCTGCCCAGTCTGGGCCCACCTGGCAAGTGTGGTGGCCATGGACCAGGAGTGTAAGTTGGGAATTGGCCCACATACCTGCTCAGGGACCCTGTGACCAGAGCCACCAGTCAGTGTGAGCACATTCCCTAGCAAAACCCCGACATTGTGGCATGGGGCTGCCCTGCCCTCTCCTTGTCTTCAGGGGTCACTGCCCCAAGGAAGTGTCCTCAGGAAAGGAAGGGAAGAAAGCCCAGTGCTGGCCTCCCTCCAGACCCAGCTCCTGGAGCCCCTCACCTCCCTGGGTGCTCATGGGTGCACTGCCCCACTCCCACCCTCATCTTCCATCATGGAGTCTTGGGCAGCTGGGAATTAACTCTTCAGAGATCTGAATAATGTAGGAACAGGCCCTGCCCAGGCTGAATTTGGCTGATGGTGATAGATGTTCCCGGGAACCTAGAGGCCCAGTAGAGGCCCCCTGCCCAGCTCTCCCAAGCCCCAGAGACCCATTTTCACAGGCCACCAGGCTCCCATGCCACATAGGGCATTTTCCAAAAATGGGGCTGGGATCAAGGTCCTGGGTTATAGTTCTGCTGTCAGGAGAGGGGGAAGAGAAGGAAAGCATAGGGGGTGCAGGAGCTGGACCTTGAGGACCTGTCTGCTCTCTGGACACCTCATGGATAAGGCCTGGGGGAGCTGGGTGTCTGTGACAGCAACCTGTACTGGTCCCCCAAAGTTCTAGAAAACACCATCTTGCATGCTTCTGTTCCTTTTGTTTCAATTCGGCTGGCCCCTGGAGTGCCACCCAAAGGCCCCTTGTAGCAGTAACGCAATGTTAGGACTCAAGCTGGAGCCTGGTTTTAAAATATTAGAATGAAGGCATCAGGCACCCTTGCTCCCAAGCTGGACAAGGGGCCGGGCCAGGCCAGCCGTCGGCTCACCCACTGCATCCTTCGCAGGCCGAGGGGTTCGGGCCGTGGGAATGGGGCTGGAGCACAGCCTCGCACAACCTCGTGGAGAATGTGTTGATTTTCTTCTTTCTCCCTCTTTCTGCTTTTTATTTCTTAAAGTCCCCAAAAGGAGTTGGACAGTGAGTGTTGGGTCGTTTTCCTGTAACGGGTTTTCCTCGCGCTGTGTAGGATCCGTGGCATGCCGTCCCTGTCGCGTGTCCTCTGATGTACTCTGTTTGACCTGGACACTGTAAGACATTACACTTCAGGTCACGTCAGTTACCTCTGTGTCGTGTAATAAAGCCAACATTTGCCATCACGGCTCTGCCTCTGCTTGAGTTCCAGGCGACTCCGGCTAAGCCCTATTTCACACGTTATCACCAAGCATGTGTTGGGGCCTTTCTCAGTTCCAAGCAAGAAAGACAACGTCCTGCCCCAAGTGAGTGTGCAACCGTGTGATGTAAGTTGGAGTGTGTATGGGACATGGGCAGATGACCCCCTGTTCAGTCCACCCCCAGCCTCCTGTATGGTGAACTTTCAAAGGTTGTGTCCTCAAGGTGATCCGGATGACCTTAGACCCCAAGATGGCTCCAATGGCTTCATGGGCCCCAAGCCCCACTGCCTGTGACAATGCCGGGCACCTCCCACAAGACGCTGAGGATAGATACCAAGGGAAGGGACACCTTGATCCCAAGGAGCCAGGGTGTCAGCCATGGTGTCCCAGTTCCTAGGGCAGGTCCCGTCCAGAGTCGGGTGCCCAGTACTCGGCACTCCTGGTTCACGGGCGGCCCCTGGGGGAGGGATGTTATTAATACTCAGGCCCAGGCTTGGAACATGGTGTATTTTGAAAGGCGTCGTTGGAAAGGCCAGTGTGGGGGCGAGGCTGTCCCCACGCCAGGCGGCTGGCGGGAGCCCCAGCTGGGCCTGGTGTGTCAGCAGTCTCGGCACAGAGTGGGATGACAGCGCTTTTCCATTGCAGAGGTCTGAGCTCACAGGGAGGCTGCCGGGGGCCGGGCCTGAGTCCAGCGGCTCTCAGCTTGGACGCGGCACCGTGGTGTCCGGCCTCCCACGTGGAGGTAGAGGGGAAGGCCCTGACCAGAGGCCCTCCACGGGGCCTCAGGCCCACAGGAGGGAGGGAACCAACTGCCTCGCGTTAGGGGAGAAGACAGGCAGTGGCTGTACTTCCATCCATGTCCAGCCAGCCTTGGGCTGAAGCCCTATCCTCGGTGCAGACTTGGGCACTGCCCTTGAGGTACTCTGGCCTGCCAGGGGAGACCTAGGGATATGTCATTTACCCAGGACAGAAGGAAGGTGAGGCCCAGGAGCAGTGGCCACAAGAAGGAGGAGGAACAATCAGGGAGGCTCCCTGGAAGCAGCAGTATAGTGGCAATAGTGCCCCCTGGAGTCGTGCACATGTAAGTGTGGGCAGCTGTGTGGAGACGGGAAAAGGGGAGAGGCAAGAAGGACCTGCATTTGGGCTGGGAGGCCTGCGCATACAGCACCTCAGCCAAGGGGCCATGAGACTGCCTGGAGACCACCTTCCCTTGGGGGCCAAGGGGACACCATGCGGCCTCAATGGAGGTGAGGACAGAACCCGGAGAAGTAGGGAAGGGGGAGTCCGGCAAAAAGGCAGGGGCCTGAGGCTTCCCAGGGCTGGGGCGGGAGCCACAAATGTCCCCACTTCCAGGACACTTGCCTCATTCCCTCACACCCGCAGCTCCACTGTCGCCTGCAACTACGCCCCCTCCCCAATTCCAAGTGCCCAGGGAAAAGACCCCAACTGGCCCAATTTGGACCTACCAGCTATGGCCTAGAATAGGGAAACACTCTAGAGGGGCCCCCCATAAATATGTCAGGAGGACAGAAAAGCCACAACAGGAGCTCCACCAAGACTGAGCCAGGCGAGGGCAGAGGGAGGAGACCGGGGCACACAGGGACATGGGCCTGCAGCTTCCCTCCATGGGCAGCCAGTGAGGAGCAGAAGAAGCAGCGGAAGCAGGCTTTATAAATTGCCTTCAGGTGCCCAGTATCCATTACCTGACCTGCACATAATTCAACCATTGTGTCCTATAGCCAGAGCAGGATTCTGGCTTCATTTAAGTGGCTCCTACCTAAAAGCTGGTCCAGAATGGGAGTGGGGGGAGGGGAGGGTCCATGGGGAATGGATGGATGGGTCAGGAGAAGGGACAGAGGTAGACCTTGACCCCTGGGCAACCACCCTGTCCTCACCCCTCCAGGCCTTTGCTCAAGCTGTTCCCTCTGCCCAGGCCATCCCTGGCCATGGCTCTACCTGACCCAGTCCATCAAGGTTGGCTCAATTGCCACCTTTTCCGGGAAGCCTGCTCTGAACCCATATACCATCCTTCCTCCTTCTGTGCACTCAGATAATTTGTTCATGCCTGTGTCATCTTAACAATGGCCTAGGTATGTGGACTGGCAACTCCAGTGAGCTTCCTGGGTTGTCACTGTCCCTAGCTCAGGCCTCGGAGCAAGCCTGGCTGAGCTTGACATAGGGAGGCCCCCCTGGGCTCCGCCTCAGCTGCACCTGTCTCTCCACCCTGAGTGTCCTAGAGATGCCTGCCTCAGTGAGTAAGAAGGGGAGGGGAGGTATCCACGGCCTTTGACTCCTCAGGGCCCAGAAGCCAGGGCTGGAAGCTTGGCTGCAGCTGGAGGCCTTTTAAGTGCTTAGTGGGAGCAGCCGGCCTTGAAACCCAAGGAGGGTGCCAGTAGGTGCTGGTGTGGAAGTAAGCATCGGAGGCCTCGCCTGCTCTGCCCTCTACTTCATCTGCTATGTGGCCTTTCTGCAACCATGCTCTCTTCTCACCCCCCACTGAGGCCTGGCTCCAGAGAGCTTCCTCCGACCCCGAGGCCCAAGGCTGGGGGGCCTGGAGCTGGACCGAGAAGACCCCTCTGGAGCCAGAGTGTGGGGACAAAAAGGAAGAGGAGGAGACTGGGAAAGCGGGGGACAACGAGGAAGATGCAGGCTCCCCTCTGTTTCTACTGGAGAGGGAGGACCTGGCCGAGCATTCAGTGCCTGACCAAGTATCAGCCTCATGGAGCACAGCTGCTTGGAGCATTGGGCAGGTACTGGGCGGGGACCTAGGGCACCCTGTGTATGGGGACAGGGGGTGGGGTCAGGAGATGAACTACTGCAGCTCTAACCTCGGAGGTGAGAGGGCCACTGTCCCCTGCCTGGAAGAGGGTAGTGGGGATGCCCATCCCTGCACAGGCTGGAGGGAACAGGGTGGCTTCTCTGGCCTGGAGGGGCCTTTGTGTGTTGGGGGAGGATTACAGGGGCTTCTCTGTGGCCCAAGTCCGAATGGCCTTCCATTTCGCTTCGAGAAGGTCCCAGCACACAACTCTGAGGGCCACTGGGGTCAGGCCTGCCTCCCTCTGCCCTCCCTCTGCCCTCCCTCTGCCCTCCCTCTGCCCTCCCTCAAGAGGAGCCTGGGGGTGTCCTGCCTTGGGGCTCAGCCTGGGGCTGTGTGCTGGCAGGAGCTGGAGGCCATCAAACTGAAGCTGTGGGCCATGGAGCAGGCCCAGGGGCTAGAGCTGCCCAGGGCGCAGGGCCAGGCGGAAAAAGAGGAGGCGGCTAGGTCTGTGCTGGCCGAGCAGGTGCTGAATCCCAAGACAGGAAGGAGCCAGCAGGCCAGGCAGACCCTTTCCCAGG